AAAATGTATGGCTCTTTTAAGAACCGTTCATTAAAAGGTTCTTTGGGGAACCAAAATGGTTTTTCTATAGCATCACTGTGAAATCTTCCCGTTTTTAAGAGTTACTATGTAAGTCATTGGGAACCAACTGTTTGGTTACCCACATTCTTTAAAATATCTTCTTTTGTGTTCAGCAGGAGAAATTAATTCATACAGGTTTGGAACAACTTAAGGGTGACTAAACGATGACAGAATTTTCATTTTTGGTGTGAACTATACCTTTAAATAAATCTGCATTTAAATTCAACAGAAGCATTTTAAGAAATCCAGGATGGGGCATTCAGGATGATTTCCTCTAGTCTTCAAATGATTCCGTATGTACGATTCCTTAATGTTGTGTGACTGTTGCGCATGTTTCATTCAGTCTTTTTTATTTGTAGGTGGGGTGAAGAATTCAACCTAAATAAGCATCCGCAGGTATGTTCCCCCTCTGTCTGTGGCTGTGACCACCAGAGCTGTGCCCTGTAAAATAAACCCATCTGTGCTTTATTTGCTTTACACATTCACTTTCCAGTAGTTGAACGGTAGCACTTTTCTTTGTCAGCCCTATTAACCATTATGGAAATCCACAGGGGATTTTTATGTGATGCTTGGCATTCATTCCAACAGCATCAGCAATGGAATTTGGAATAACAAATATTAACTTCCTAGTTCAAATCACAGGAGAGCTAGGATTAGGAAATTAGGAAAATCTAGAGTAAATCTGACCACAGCCGCAATGTATGATTGAATATTTTATCAATCGTTTGGTTTTTATTTCTGCAGCATTCAATCAGAGTACAGAAATTGACAATTTAATGGGAAGAGATGGTTCAATCATATAAAAATGAATGGGAGAAATCGTAACACTCAGAATGGTGTCTGCTTGTAGTGCATATGCATTAGCTGGATCAGCCTGAAAAATACATTTTTTTGCATGATTAAAGCACATTTTATGATGCAGTTAATGTCAGATTTAATTCCTTAAAGTCTTAAAAGATGTCTGCCTTTCCTCATTCAAGTTGTTAAAAATGTTTAGATTGACTTGTGCATAATATATGTGACAAATACTGTTATATAGTGTTTCCTTCACTTTATGATTATACTGTGAATATTACCTCGAGTTATAGTAAAATACTGTAATATTCGTCTGGGGAACACATTCCTCTGTAATTCCTTTCCCATGCAGCACAAGTAGTCTTAAAATATGCTGTGCGTCCAGACTAATAATGTGCAGCTTAATATTAAACTCATGACGCACAGGTTTTATTTTTGTAGATAGCCAAGGACTCATATTTGAAAGTGTTTGTGAACACGTACTACATTTATTCATCTGAGCAGATCCATTTATCCAGAGAAAGTAAACGAGTGATAGGATTGAGTGGTGAATAAATCGACCAATGTTTAAGCAAACATGTAGTCCTGCCCCAGATTCACATCATTGGAATGCTGTTATGTCTGGCCCAGGTTGCTTAAACCCAAAAATCTCATACTCATATTCAATACTCATCCCACAGACCATCCAAGATGTAGGTGAGTTTATTTCTTCGGAACAGATTTGGAGAAATGTAGCATTCCATCACTTGCTCACCAATGGACCCTCTGCAGTGAATGGGTGCCGTCAGAATGAGAGTCCAAACAGCTGATAAAAACATCATAATAATCCAATATGACTTTTTCACTGGAGAAATGGACTCGTATTTTAGCTGAAAGCAACACTTTGAAGTTAAAAAAGCATCTTAATAATGGATTTATTACAGACTCCCAGCGTTTAGCTTTACAAGATGTTAATTGATTCCATTTGGTGCATAAATTACACACGCTTTCATTTAAACAGGCAACAGACTGCAAAGACTTTCATGCTTTTATTTCCCTGTTTTACAGGGAACAGAAGTGAAAGCAATCACCTACTCAGCTATGCAAGTACATGACACAGAAAAACCAGAGATCTTTGTCATCAGCGATGTTTAAAAAACAAAAATACATTAGATATAATTTAATACCTCGTGTTAATTTACATCATTTTAAAAGATTGTACCTTCTAGTTGGAATGGATATGTGAGAGGTGTCATTTCTGTAAACTATAAAATGTTTTGTGGATTGTGGATGGCTGTTTTGCTTTTTGGCCTGATTTTCATTAATAATGATATTAAAGGGGTCATATGATGCTGCTAAAAATAACATTATTTTGTGTATTTGGTGTAATGAAACGTGTTTATGCGGTTTAAGGTTAAAAAAATGATTGGAGGAATGACGAACAACAAGTGCTACTCTACACTGCCCAAAAAACTCAAGTAGATATAACTGCAGACCGGAGATCTCCAAAATGGGGTGTGAACTCCAAAAGTGGGCAGAACTTCCAAAATGGGGTGGGGTCTCCTCGGGCAAAGACTTTCACCATTGGCTCTGGCTCCAATTACTAATTGACTTACATTTCAAAATAAAATTGTATAAATTAAACATTGTTTCTAGTTCATCTAAAATAAAATATGCTATATAAATACATATTCTCCATGAGACCAGAGCCCAAACCGTCCCAGCGCAGCGCAGGGGAACGATTTCACTCTTTCGCTTTGTTCTAAGCAACGGGGGCGTCCCGGGGCTCGGAATTCGCAGAGTAGGAGGGGGTAGTGACGCTGGGTGTAACTAAAAAGGTGCCATTGTCCGGTGAGGTCGTCAGCTGTGGGGCGGAGTTTGCACTGAAGTGAATTGGGGAAAAATTGCGCATGCGTGTCATGTGCCTGTCTGTCAATGGGAGGAAGCCACGCCCTATTTTGGAGCTC